ATATGCTTATAAATATAATGTTCCTAAATAGACAGAGACAAATACAGAAATGTTTATAAGGATTTACCTCCATATCTAACCACAGCGAAATTGAACATAGCGAAGTTATCCATCGTAGCCACATAGCAGACCATGACGCAATAGAAGGTAATTTTCTCCAAACGAAGCGTCGATATAAAATTGTGCCGAGAGAGTTTACCGATAGTAATCTGTAATAATCGTGGATCGTTGCATTGAAATACTTTAAGGGTAGAATCTCTGGCGCTTTTATCACAATCGTCATTGTTACTAGTTATTATTACTACTGTTTTTGCATGACCCGTTATCATATCGACTTTGCAGGTCCCATCACTTGCATTCGATTCGTTTTTATCTCATTCATATATCTCGTCCACAATGGTCTTCAAACATTTCGCATGTGGTCGATTGCTGCCTGAGGATTTTTCTTCTTTATGAATGTCAAAGAATGCTGGTCTAGTCGATTCTCTTCGCAATCTCTGTCGTTGTTAAGCTAAGGCGTTCCCACGTGGATCAGAGGAGAGCGTTGGGGAGAGGGTCGAATCAGCAGTGCCTTGTTTCCTCACAGGCTGCACCACCAACTACTTTGCGGTTATCTCAATTCCGTTATCGCCGATACCTGTGAATGATACATGACGACGGCATATATCGCCGTTAATATTAACAATTTTCCTAGCACTCATTCGATATGCTTCAGATAAGGGCCAGTACGTTGTGCACTACGCGCTATGCCGCCAGAATGTTGATAAGGAATTTCAAGTGCGAATCAAAAACCACCATTTTTTACCTGCGATTCAAACGTATTTATCTCCTTGTTTATCCCATTGGTTTACTACTTGAGAGCAATTCACCCTCCACGGTAGGTCTAACTTCTCCACCCGCATACAGTTTTAACATAGAATGGGACCACATGCGAGCGCTGTGGTACTTTGCGAATTCCTTGGGCTAGTGGTATCATCGGATTCATTCTGGTTACTCTTGAATGTGATAGAAACGAACGAAGACGGATCTATGTAGAAAGGAGTTATCCCATTATTAATTGCATTGCATTTGCTAGAATAAACCAGGACAACAAGTGGTTAACGCTCGTTGGGGTATAAAATTTCTTCACAAATAAACATGACACATGAATAGTTTCAAACAACTGCAATCCTCTTTCTGCCTTCTACCTTCCTATGGGCTGTACGCAGCAACGCAATAAACACACTCAACCATCACGTTTTCATTGCCAAGTCATGTGTCTTTTAAGAAAATTTGTCAGCAGACAAAAATAGGATTGTATTATTGTTTTTATATGAAACTACCTTTTCAACGTAGTCACGGAATTCGCCGGTTATGATCACTTCAATCCTCTCCGATTCGATGTCCGAATAACCAGAGGGTCCGACAGACTCCTCGATAGAATCTTGAACTCTTCGCTCAATCATTGTTTTGGATTTTTTCTCTTTTCGACCTTCAAGAAGCTTTTTTCTAATGGAAATTTCGTTTTAGAAGCTTTACACATATGGTTGTCGATGTCATTTTTAAAACTTGATACAAAGACACTTCCTCTCATTTAAAACCCGGAAGAGCTTCTATTTTAAGGACATCCTTGTCGTTAAATACAGAAGTCAAATTGGTGACTCGAAAAGTTAAGCTCACAATAGCGCGATTTGTTAAACCACCTGAGCAAAAAGAAAATCATAACAGAAACAGAACATTTAATGACAATTTTATGTTACTATGTCGTTTACTTTCTTAGTAATCGCGAGGGTGCTATACAGCATAAGTTTACTTTCGCACAAAACACATATAATGCAACGGTAGCTGACATTTGGGCAGTATCGCCTTCTTCAGAGTTTGCAAAGTATATTAGGAGGCAATATGGAAAGACCAAAATCTAAGTGGCAACCACAACATCAAGAGGTTCTCTAAAAACGCACCATTTTTAAGGTGCCTTCCACTAAGGAAGAACAGCTGATCAGCAAATGGTTGACGAATGCACCACCAGCATCAGAAATCGATGTGAAGGCACGAGGCGAGATCATATATAATTCCGAGTATTCCTTCTTGCTATTCATTGTAGGACTTTTGGTGCTTATCCAAAGAGCCTCGAAAAATTTGAGCGTTGGTGTTTGGGCATACTGTACTAGGACAGTGAGTTTATATCAAAATCGTCTCCGCTATGGTTTCGAATCCTATGAGTCCCTAGTGAGGTAGATTGTCTTGCTCTTCGTTTACCATCTAGGTGTTTTTTTGTACGGATACATAAAGGTCTGCCTATTTCGCCAGTTCTACAAGTACTACAAGAGATCAGTTATATCGTGATTAAACTCATGCAATCACCTGTCTTGCCAAAAGAGCAAATTACGCAATGTTCTGTTCCATATAGACGGTTATGTAAGCGGCTGCAAAATAATTGACAATGAAGAGTATCCAGTGGTATTTCTAACATCGTAAGCTATCCCTCTAGGCCTGCCCTTCTTAAGCATCGCTTTACAGCTACACTTATTTCATCACTAATAAAGGGCAACATAAGTGGGAATTTCTTCTTTTTCTTTTTTTAGGCCAAGTCTTTTGTTTTAGGGCGTCGCTCTTCTTATAAACTTATCTCGTGGGCTGACTATTTCGTAGCCATTGCAGATGGCTATTTACTGAGCCAAGTCGTGCGATTCCTTCTTTAGTTCCCTATTCGTGCACACAGAGGTGGCTGTTCGAAATAATGTTTCTCACAATTGCCCTCTTTGTGTGTAAAGGGTGAAAAAAGAGGATATGAACAACGATGTTCTTATTACTTGACTTTCGGTACCATTTTGTCATTTAACCGTTATCTGATAAGTTAGTTCGAACGCTAAGAAATGAAAGCCAATTTTTTTTCAGCTTCTTCTGGATGGTTTTAATGTACTCAGACTGCTCATTTCTATCTCCACCTGAGTAGAGATAATGACAAAACAGTTGTCTATATACCTACAGTAGAGTAGCGGTCTAAGACCTATAATGGGACTTCCACTTTAGAAATGAGTGCAATGGTGAGACTTCGTGCCAGCCGCTGTCCCATTGCTAATGCTCTCATTTGCAAGTAATATTTCCTAGTTCATCTGAAAATCGAGCAGTTTAGGCACTCTTCTAAGAGAGTCATAAGCTGCTGAATAAGAAAGTTGTGTATATTTATTCTCCTTTTATGTTCGACAAGAAGTTCGAAGATGGCTTCCATTGCGGAGTCAGGACGCCGTATGTTGTATAACAACCTCGCGATTGCTAAGAAAGTAAACGACGCATTTATAATCCAATCCCGAGGTTAATAGATAGTCGGTCCTGAGAGCTATTGTTACTATTTATTAATTTTCCACGGTGTCTCCAGAGCAGCAACGTTTTCTTATGGTCTTGGAAATTCGAGGTATAGAAGAAGCTCGTTTTCAGATAAAACCCATTCATGTTGTATTTCCCAATATTTTCCCCGAAATACCAGATGTGAACAAAAATATGCCAGTGATTTACAGAGTGTTTTAGAAAAAGTCTAGTCGATGGGTAAAAGAGCTTTCTTTCATTCCTTGGGACGATGGCAGCACGAGTGACAGCGTAGGAATGCAGTAAAGTAGCTACTAAATGTACATTAGAAGAAAAACTAGTTCAACAACAACTGTAGTAGTCAACTAGATGAAGTGCGACAGATCGCCTCCTCCAAACACGCCTCTTCGTGAAGACTGACCATCTTATTCATCAAGTAGTACTGAATCCCAAGTACCAAGTGCTGAGTATTCACCAGAATCCCTCTAAGAATAAAAAGCTCTTAGCGTTGATCAGTCCCTAAGGGATGATGCATTCGACTTCATTAAGCATCGTTTGGAGGTGATTGAATGCATATCTGGCCTTTACAATAACCCACGGTGGCCTACCAATGCATCGAGCCAGTGCGCTATTCTCTCAGACAAGTACGGTACTAATTTGCCGACCACGGAGGAATAGAAGGGTTGATGAACCTGGGGCACGGGGATCGATCCCATGTGCATTGCAGGACTCATCGTCTGACCAATGCACTACACGCTCTCACTGAATAAACATTGGAAATAAAGATTCATGGGCAGTAGATAAAAGTTATAGATTGAAAAATCATTTGTTTACTTCTAAGCCTATTCATATATCATTCTTCGTCTTTCCACTAGAAATTCACTTATTCTCCTTTTTCAGGGCAAAAAGTTCCACTTGCCATGTTTTATTTTCTTCTCACCATCACTACGGCGGATTGCAGTGTAGGTGATAAATGCGCTCTGAAACACATGCTACACCAATTGCTGGTCCGATCAAGTACTATGAGCTAACCAAGCTTTTCACCTCTTTGGGTTTGACAAACTGGTACCTAACTTCTATAGCAGGAAAAATTTCAAAAATCCAAAGATGAACCGGAAAGACGAATGCCTCACTACCACGCGTGACCTGGCGCCCTGTTTCAAAATAATATTTTGACGTCGGGGTGTGTCTTGCTCGCGACCCCACGTGAACAAGGCGAGGGCCAGTCCCGCACGTAACATCACGGTGAGTGGCCTTTCTGTTCAATATGGCGTCTATTTGAAAGTTTGATCTTCATTAATACTTTAACCTTCTTTTCCACCGAACAATAAAAAGTATTCTAACGTAAAGTACGTCCAGGCCCTGAGGAAGGCGAAGTCGCCGAAACGTCAGCCATCGATCAATAACATCAAAAACAACGACAACGACAACGAAGATCTGTACCAACCTCGCGTCAGCTTAAGAAGATCAGTTTATAAGATCACATAAATAAATATATCTTCTACAGGAGGAATTCAACATTGGTTTGATGGATCGGTAGGTCACCGAAAGTCACTGTGCAGGCAAAATATGCATCCAGTTACCTCTACCGTGAATGAAGTTGAGTGCAGATCGTGTCCCTCAAGGAAAACTCAATTCGAAACGTTTTATCTTTTTTAAAGATCTTATCTTCATTGGCTCAAGCGTCATGAGTCCTTTTCTTTTTCTGCCCACATTGTGACGTTCGTTCTTCTTGGCTCTATGGTCGGCTACAACCTCTTCCGGTTTTCAGCTAAAGCTTTCTCTATTGTGTCCGATTACATCAACCAGCTCATATAGGTGATTTTATGTACAAACTATCAAATGTTACTCAAGTGTTGTTAACTGCTATATGTACGATAAGCAATTTTCGTAAAAATAATTATTTGTTGTCAGTTTTCAAACTGTCAAAGTTTGTTCTACACTAGGTTGATCGGCAAGTTTTTAGACGCCGTAAATACATTTTGCGCAGTCAGATGTGGTACATAAAGGCGCGTGTGGCGCAGTGGTTGGATGCGCCACCGCGGAAATTCCCTCGCCCATGGCCCATCAAGCTTTCCATCTCTCCGGGTCGGCAAATTGGTACCAGACTTGTCTGGGAGGATAGCACTGACTCGATACATCGGTAGGCCACTACAAGTCGTTGTAAACGCCAGATAAGCCTTCACTCACCTCTAACGATACTTAATAAAGTCGAATACATGGCGCATCCTCAAGAATTGATCAACGCCGACAGCTTTATCCTTTACTTTTTATCCAGATCCAGCAAGCCCTCCATTATTCCAGAGTTGGAAAATTAGTACCAGACTTGTCTGAGAGGTTACCAGCACTGGCGTGATACAACGATAGGCACGAAGAGCCGTTGTAAATTGTCAAAATACGCTTTCAATCACCTCCAGCGATGCTTAATGAAGTCGGATGCATGGCGCATCCTTCCTGGATTAGTCGGCACCGAGAACTTTATCTTCCTTAACGTAGTACATATTTTTTGAAAAGTTAAGATTTGGCGTGAGCACCATTGTTATCTAACACGTACATAGATTAACTTTAAATTCTTACATCGATGAAACTCGAATTCGGCGAAACCGAGGAGGGGATAAATTCCTAGTTACGACATCTGTACGCTGCATGCCATCTCGTTTGGACTGTTTCCCTCAGTATGCAAAGGAATAGAAGCTCTCAGTACAGTAGTCCGCAATACTTTCGAGACGGCTCAATCAACGGCCTCAGTAGGTAGTGTGCACAAGCAACAACGGCGTAATAAGATGGAGAAGATGACTGACACTTGCTGAGAATTCCTTGAAAGGAATAACTGTAATTCCTTATCTCGGTCACTTGTGAATTTTAACGGTTTACCTTGATATGTACGCGATAGGTTATACACATAATAGTTACGACAACCACTGGAAAAAGAAAGCGAATATGCTCCACTTTGCGTCAAGGATCATACAACAGGGCTACCGACCCAAGTCCACTCAGACGTCTTTGTGAAGAGAAGGTTCAAAATTTACTTTTTGAATAAAGCATTTATTTTTCAGCATACTATCCTAGTAAATAATGATCCTTCGAAACACTTGTAAAGTGAGGGTGTAGAATGCCTCCTATACAATATTGTCAAATGAAAAGCGCAATTTCGAATTTG